AACCTCTGCTGACTTCCGAGTCCGATTCTCTCTGCTGACTTTCGAGTCCGAATATCTGCTGACATTCGAGTCCGAACTTCTCCGAGCTGACTTTCGAGTTCAACAACCGTCTCTGAGCTGACTTTCGAGTCCGAACGCATTCTTTCGTGGATGACTTTCGAACGCATTTCAAGGCCAAATAACCCATACTCTGGCGGAACTATCGGAATCTCCCTACCGGACAGCCGCAATCGGGACGAGGAGGACGAATCGGAACCACGGCGTACCCCGGAATCGAGTCCCGGCATGGAATTATTCAGAATTGTACCTTTAAGTCAATAAACGTTAAGATACATTTTTACGGCATAATCTAGCGTTCTACTCTGGGACTGGGTCGGAATCTCTTACAGCAACCACGCCTGAACCGAATTAATTCCTGAAACGGACCCTGGACGTCCCGCTAAGCTACCCGAGGACAGACAGACCGTCAGTACCCTCTTTATATAATCGTAGAACCATGCTAGGTATTACATTCTTATATAACTGAATCCGTGGTAACTTGGAAAGTGTTGACTTTCTGGGTCAGCTTAATTTTCACGTACCGAGAATAAACACTGGATCCTTTTTACCATTAGTTTTGCCCCATTGTGGAACATCCTTTGTACTGCATGAAACCTTTTAGAGTCCTCTTTGCAAATTACAATGATTTGTACACCATAACTTCTAATGTTGTTTCAACGGAGCAGTATATCTTAAAGATTGGCATACATAATTAATTTACGCTTCAAAACTTTTCGTTTCTCTGACTGTCTCACTCGAACTGAACTGCCCTATTCTTCTTTCCTTTTTTCCTTATTCTTCTTTACTCATCATTGACACTAACCGACCTTCGTTCAACTCTGCATAACTTCGTCAATTTTCCTATGATCGATGTAAAACGTATACACAATATTCTTAAGATATTAGGCCTTAAATATAAAAAATAAAAAAAATTTACGAAAAAAAAATTAAATATCTTTCCCCCCCCTTAACACATCATTTAGAGCACACGCTCTCTTCTACTCAAGTTCAATCGTCTGGCTACAACACGCATATACCACATTATCAGACTCTTGCCGCACCTTAGCGATGCTGCACACCATACCTGTGTATGGCACCACCTGCAACCATCTTAAGTTACAGATCCCCTGCTTGCACGCACGCCTCTTGCAGTGTCGATAAGCTCTTCTCTCAATTCACATGCCTCTCGCTCATCACGTACACTGTCATGAGGATACTTATACATTCGCTTAGATGTTAATGACTTTAACAAGTAACGACCCCCATCAAGCAGTTCAACAATTAAAAGTGGTCCCTTTCATTTACGATCTTATTTCGTCTGGTGTCGTTCTTCGCTTTTCAATAATACATAATCACCAATCTAATGTTTTACAACTCCGCCATGCTTTTTATCAACTCTTGCCTTATCATACATGTAAAGAGTGGTAACACTGGTCAGCCGCAGGCACACACTTGCAGTGTGGCCAGAGTTTGCAACCCTAAAACGCAAAGTTAAGTGAATTTTAAAATTCTCAGAAAGGAGTGCACAAATACATTTGTAGGAAAAGCCGATCGTCGTTGTGAAATTCTGTTGCGGGAAGTTGCAAAGCTGAGCGCAGTTCCCGTGAATTCCAGAATTCTCAGAAAGGATCGTGCAAATACGTAGACAGAAGTGGGCGTCGTTGTGAAATTGGTTGGCGGGACAGAGACAACAAATACGTAGACAGAAGCGAACGTCGTTGTGAAATTCATTCTTGAAAGATTCACGTTTAAACAAGATCGTTTGTGAGTTGTGTTGTGAAAAAAGGCATGACGCGAACACCAGCCAAGAACAATCAAGTTAGAGCTGACGTAGAAGAAGACAACCAACTTAATTTGCTGGATATTTAACCAGACGAAGAGGGCAGCAAAATAATGGCGGCAAACAAAAGCAGTGAGGTGAAAATGGCAAATAACAGCGGTGCAAGTGACCAATTGCAACAGTTAATCCAACTGTTGGCATTAAAGATCGATCGCAGCACCGGAAAAACTTCTGTAGACAGTTTCGAAAAAATTATCAATGACGGTTTTTCGGTTCCTGTTGATAAGTGGTTCGAAATTTTTAAGCGCAATGCGGACAAACAAAAATATGTGCATGCCAGAGGAAAAATGTGCGGAGCTGCCAAACTTTTCCTAGAATCCGAGTGCGTGTGCGATTTCGAGGAACTGAAGACCAAATTAAGGGTCGAGTTCAAATGCAGTCGAAACAGTGCCGATATTCACCAGTTGTTGCGCGAACGTAAAAAGAAAAAGTCAGAATCATTTCATGAGTATTTGCTTCAAATGAAGAAGATCGCGAACATCGGTAGCGTGGAAGAATCTGCTTTAATACGGCATGTTGTGAATGGGCTACAAATCAAAAACGAAAATAAAGTCGCTATGTATCGTTGCCATTCTCTGAATGCGCTAAAAAAAGAGTACGACATTTTCGAGTTGGTACAAAAAAGCTGTAAATAAAGCAAAGTTAACACGAGTGTCAAGCCGAAAGTGTTTGAGAAGAAGAAGGACTTCTGTTTCAATTTTGACTCTGCGGAGTACAAAAGAAAAGACTGCCAGTCGAAAACAAAATGCTTTCGTTGCAACGAGTTCGGACATATTTCACGGGAGTGTAAAAAACAACAGGAAAACACAGTTCGGGTTGTGACAAGCAGCCGCCTCCTCAAGAACATTACAATAAATGGGGTTGATGTTGAGTGCCTAGTCGACACGGGTTCAGATGTCTCGATAGTCAGAAAAAGCGTGCTTTAGAATTTAAAAAAAGTAAACATGATGGAAAGCGAGTCGGTTTTGCGAGGCCTGGGTAACAAAAGCACCAAGCCAATCGGATTTTTCAACGCTAGCGTAGTCGATCACAAGTTTCTGGTTGTAGACAACTTTACAATGGATTGTAATGCGCTTCTGGGCTGCGATTTTCTTCAAAAGTACTCGTAAAAAGTACTTGCAACCCTAGATGCATTATGGTCTCGTGAATATGGTTAACGGGTTATATACAGTTGTGATAGTCGAACAAATCGATTTTTTTTTATTGCATATTCTTAAAGTATATACTGTTGAGAATACTCTCACAAAAACAACGATCGGAGCATTAGAACCGAAGTTGTTGCTATTTATAGCGCACGACCTGCACGTCGGCCGGAACAAACTTGAAACTTTAAACGCGATTATCTCAGACTCGTTTTTTTTTCGAAGTTACCTTTGCGGTGGACACGATTACTAAAAAACTATTAATCCGATCAACACCAAATTTTGACCACTTATTTTTTATAATAAAATAAATCAAAATTTTTACAAATCCTTCGTTCACGGACTAGACCAAATACTAACGAAATTTTTTTGAATTTTTGATTTCTGATGAACCGTTCTCGGGATATGATGTCCACCGCAAGTCACTATCGGAAAAAGAGGGTATTTGAATTCGGCCATAACTTTTTTATTAGTTAATATTTTTTTATAAAAAAATTGTTTAATAAGTACCCAGAAAGATGTACTAAACAACGCCGGTAAAACATTTTTAATAAATATTCTTTATGGTGTCAAAAAAAAAAATCGACAAAACTTCAACTGTATATAACCCCTTAATAACGGACCATCTAACATAACATAACAGGCAAACATCACGTCTTTCTTTGAATAATGCGATACAACAAACTCTTTCTGATCTCATGAACATGAGCCATTTGGCTCTCCTTTCGATATTCTACTTGTTATTCGAACGGCTGCATAAATGACCACCATCGATGCACGCGCGGAGTCAATACAGCTTTCTCTCGACTTGCCCTGACAGAATTGCAATCAGCATTAAACACTGCCACGGAGTTGAAGGCTGATTTGAAAAGCGAGCTGATAATTTCATTGCCAATTTCTAAGCTCAGCTCCGCTAAGGATGCACCTTGCGGATGTTCACATAAAATCATGTTCGCCGTTTTGCACAATGTCGCGGCATCTGTGTAGGCACCTTCGGAATCGAAAGATGGTAACACTGCAGTAACGGCACGTGTGCCATTCGTCGACGTGGAATGTGTAACTATTAAAAGTTATGCATTAACTTTGCTTTGCGCTTTTAGAAGTGTGCGCCGGCAAGCCGAAATTTGTATACCCTTCCAGTTTGAAAGTGGATCAACAATGAGAAAAGCTTCCTTTCTTGTGTTTTCTATTAATTTGACCAGAATGGATCGATTCTTAATGATCCAATTGCAAACTGAAAGGGTGTGCCGAAGTTTGCTTCTTTTTAAAGCGAAGAAATTTAACTTTTTATTTTTTGTATTCTATTCGCCTTCAGAACCAGCCTGTGTTACAAATGAAACTTAGGATTGCTGAGTTCTTAAGGTTTCTTATGCTTTCCAGTGATTCCAACTGGTAGGCACCGAAGTCACGTAGTCTGATTTAGTTAAGGGCTGGACAGTTGCAGGAGCAGGTTTTTTGGTGTCTCTTGCTTCGAAATTTCTTTCCATCTTCCTTTCGTTCATTTCAATCGTCCAATATCATTTGGCGACCGTCGTGAACCTTCTAATATTAAGTTTACTGGTGGATAAGAGTTCTCTGGTACGATTTTTGTCAGAGTCCGGCTAACATTTCTTCGATGTCCTAAGTTCACACTACTTTGATCAATTCTTATTGGCTGTAAAGCTGTCAGATCGGAATCAATATATCTGTACTTCGACCTGCCGAGGCTGATCTGGCTAATTCATCTGTTTTTTTTTGTTCCCTGGGATGTCATGATGTAAAATTTCACGATATGTATATAACGCGTTAATAATTGATAAAAACTGATTTATAATACAATAAGAATAGCCATTAAATGCTATTGTGCTTGTAGGAGTTGAAGGTGTCATTATCTCTTTTGGACATCTTGCAAACTTCAGGATATATCTTATATATAATGTACTTTTAATTTACTTAATGTTTTCATTCCTCTTATTGATTGAACACATTTTTAATTGCAGAAATTCAACGCAAAAAGAAATTTTTGTTGATTTCATGGGTGCACAAATAAAAACATTGTCATTTTTGGCATACATTGTGCGAATATTTCAGGTAAATAATCTTTCTATATATTTCTGCACTATTTTCTTTCAGCGAATGCTAAACATATTTCTTGACAAGAAAGGAAGTTTACTCTGGCGATTGAATTGAAGTCTGCAATTGGATTACTTAGAATCAATTGGTTTATTAAGAATCGATCCATTCTGGTCAAATTAATGAAAAACAAGAAAGGAAGCTAACTTCGGCACGCCGAAGTTCGTATACCCTTGCAGATTGGTTTTGATGTTTATATCTATATATATAAAAATGGAGACAAAAAATGTTAGCGATCAAATCACAAGAGAACGGCTGGGCCGATTTGGCTCAATTTTTTTTTAGTTTTTTGTAATTGCCAGAAGAAGGTTATAGCATAAGAAAATGTTGGGAAGTCCTTCCGGAAAGGTCGCTAGCGGCTCAACAGATGGACACACTGTTGTATGTAAAATTCTGAAACACCCTACAAAGATCATAGCTGCGTTGAAATTGTGTATCAATGAACTCGGTAAAAAAATATTTAAACAAAAAAATCGAGCTAACGAAGCATTACCAAAGTGAGCTTAAACAATTGGAAGTAATGCCTGCTGTTAGACGATCAAATCTTGGGCGGCGTTCACGCAGTGCAATAAATAATCAGAATTTCCGTAATAGTCGGACGCAAGAGGAACGTACAGAAATAAATGCATCGATACGTGCCCAAATGGCACAGCTTCGCGCTGCACAAAGACCACCTCAAGCCCGACAAAATAATAGAGGAAGACGAGCCGCAAATGAAAACTTGAATCGCGCTGCATTCGCATACAATCCTGAAACATCCTACAAGGATCTTACGTGCGTTGTTATTGGTTCATTATCTGTTGTATGTCAGCATTGTAATGCATTGAAGTTTCGGCTGGAAACCCCCGGCTTATGCTGTGCAGGTGGCAAAATGAAATTGCCCGTTTTGGCTCATCCACCAGAGCCATTGTACTCGCTACTATATGGAAACTCAGCCCAATCAAATAGTTTCCTGAAGCTTGCACAAAAATATAACGGATGCTTTCAAATGATGTCTTTTGGAGCCGAGGTTGTTCAACAATCAGGCTACAATCCAAGTTATAAGGTAATGGCGTCTCTTTATTATCACATTTTTTCAAAATTGCATCCCAACATTCAGATTCAAGGGCAAATTCACCACCGAGCGGGCGCTTTGTTACCACCACAAAACAAAGATCATAAATTCCTTCAGATCTATTTCATTGGTGATTCGGAAGTTGAACTAAATCACCGCTGTGCAATTTTTACTGCAACTAAACGTGAAATTATTCAACAATTGCAAACCTTCTCCATGAGCATAATGAATTGGTCAGATTGTTTAAAACCGCATTGGATATAATGCATTATGACGAACATAAAATCATTATCAGCGCTGACAAAAGACCCACTGGTAGCCATGCAAGACAATTTAATGCTCCCACTATCAATGAAGTCGCAGTGGTGATTGTTGGCGAGAATGTTGAATCACGCGATATTGTTCTTAAGCGTCGGGATAATGGCCAATTGCAGCCAGTTTATGAGACTCATCGGTCTTATGATGCTCTTCAATACCCGTTGATGTTCTGTCGTGGAGAAGATGGGTATCACTTCAACATAAAGATGGTCAATCCAACGACAGGTTTGTTTAAAAGTCATCACGTCTTTTTAATTCTACAACTGAGTTTGAATTCAAATTTTAGGAGAAGAAACGAATAAGAAGGTTAGCTGTATGAATTTTTATGCGTATCGATTGATGATTCGACTTGATGTTGACAATCATTTGTTAAGATACCGCCGTTTGTTTCAACAGTACTGTGTCGACATGTACGTCAAAGTAGAAACGGAACGTCTCAATTTCATTCGTTTTAATCAGTCGAAGTTGCGCTCAGACGAGTACATCCACTTGCGTGACGCCATCGCTACTGAAGGACACGCGGCCAACATCGGTTTTTTGACCATTCTCCCAGCTACTTATGTTGGAAGCCCGCGCCATATGCATGAGTATGCTCAAGATGCGATGACGTATATCCGGAATTACGGAACGTCTCAGTTTAATTGGTTTTAATCAGTCGAAGTTGGGGCGAGATAAAGTTCGCCGGGTCCGCTAGTTATAGATATAATTGTTGAATACACTCACAAAACAAAGTTTCATTACAGTTTGACAGCTTCCCAGCTTTACATATTTGATACAATTACCGATCGCTTCTATGGCAGCTATATGATATATTTGTCCGATTTTTATGAAATTTATACCAAAATTCTAGAACAATAAAAAAAGCTTATATCTCAGAGTAGATAAAAATACGTTGAAAAACAACGAAGCTATAATTTTTTTCCTATTAATTTCCCGATCGTTCCTATGGCAGCTATATCATATAGTCGTCCGATTTTCATAAAATTTTTACCAAAATTGAAAAATAATATAGAATGGCCATATCTAAAAAATGGTGCAAAAATATTGAAAAACAGCAAAGTTATAATTTTTTTTCTAAAAATTTATCGAACATTTGTATGGCAGCTATATGATATAGTCGTCCGATCCGGCCCGTTCCGACATATATAGCAGTGAGAGTATATAGAAGACTATATGCAAAGTTTCATTCAGATAGCTTTAAAACTGAGGGACTAGTTTGCGTAGAAACAGACAGACGGACAGACGGACAGACAGACAGACGGACAGACGGACAGGCAGACAGACGGACAGGCAGACAGACGGACATGGCTAGATCGACTCGGCTGTTGATGCTTATCAAGAATATATATACTTTATAGGGTCGGAAACGTCTCCTTCACTGCGTTGCAAACTTCTGACTGAAATTATAATACCCTGCAAGGGTATAAAAAAGGAAATACATAAAAGTTGTATGTTTATATATAGCATATAATAATTTGGTTTTAAAAAATTTAAAACCATCAAAAAATAAAGTTTTATCGTATTAAAAAGTCTATATTTAAGATTTAAATATATAATATAATAAACATTATAAATTTAATGCTGAAAAACACACACGAAACCGAGCTCTATTACATTTTACCTATACTTATGCTTACTGTTTGACAGTTACAGTTTTACACTCGCAGCTTAAAATTTTGGTGTACTTCTACTGATCGTTTCTCTTTTGCAAAAAGTGCCGAAATTTCTACTAATTTTGTAAAAAATGAGTTAAATTAAGGTCGTTATTATAGTTTATACTATAATACACCTTTACAACGCAAAAAAAAGTATTTTAGAGGGCGCAGGACCTCACTGCTCCATGAGAGAAAGGTATCAGATAACTTAGCCTAGAAAGAAGGGCAAAACATGTAAAGAGACTCCAAATCTTTCAAATTGTTCTTTTAAAATAGTTTATAAATCATAAAATATGAACCGAACCCAAAAAAAAACCGAGGTACGATTCGCAAAACCACAATTGTACAGGCTCGACGCGTACTTCGCTTCAGCAAAGCTCGTCCTTTTGCATCCTCTAGGGATATATGAGCGGGAATTGGCATGGGAATCAGTCATGGGACCATTCGCCGGGGACTTATTGAAAAAATTTTGAATTCGTGAAGTCCATGGAAGATGTCATTGCTTGGTTAAAGGCATATCAAGGCCAGATTGGAGTTCGTCAATAGCCACTTAAACTACCACTATTGAAATGGCGTAATATCCTTTGGACAAATGACTCCAAACTGGTTTTATTTCGTGGAATAGGACAAGACAATATGTCTGTCGACCTCCAAATACATAGTACCACCCAAACCATACGCTGAAGACAGTAAAGCACGGTGGCCTTAAATTCATGGTATGGGTATACTTTTCATGCAACGTTGTAAGTCCCGTATATATGATCAGTGGGATCAAAGACCATTATGTTTATGTCCAAATATTAAAAACTGTTTTGCAGCCGTATCCTGAAGAAAATATGCCATTAATTTGGACATTTCAGCAGTACAGTGACCATAATCATACCAGTAAGGTGGCCAAGGAGTCGGTTCTTAATGAAAAAGTGGATGCAATGCCATGGCCTGCACAGTCCCCGGATATGAATCCGATCGAAAACTTATGGGGGACATCAAGGGCTATGTATTAAAGAAGTTTCCGACTTCTAACATGCAGCTTTGGTAATTTGTGCAGGAGGAATGAGGCCATATTCCCCTCAAGCGTTGCTAAGACTTGGTGGACTCCATGCCACCCAGGTATGAGGCTGTGATAGCTTCTAAATGCTATTTAACAAAATATTAGATCATAGTCAATTAGAATTTAAGAAGAAATAGGTTTCTTATATGATATTTTTAAATTTATGAAGAATTTTAGTTTGTTTACGCCAGGAGGCCCCTGCTCCCCCTCTGCTCACCGAGCGTTCAAAAGCTTAAGCGCTCCCAGCTCGGCTTTAGCTAAAAACAACAAAAAGAAGTGGTCTGATGAGTTGGGTAGCGCCAACGAAACGATCGTCACCACAGCTGCTACTTGTCTATTGACAAGTTCTCTTTGTTGTTTTTAGCTAAATCCGAGCCTTTGATTTTTATAAAATCGAAGCCGGTTATGACCTCAAGTCTGCAATTACGAATGCTAATAAATATAGGTCGATGCTAAAAAAAGCAAACATAATAAGTATAGGTAAAAAGTTATGAAACTCTGTTTTGTGTGTGTTTTCAGCATTTAAATCTATAATATCATATAAACATCAAAACCAATCTGCAGGGGTGTACAAACTTCGGCGAGCCGAAGTTAACTTCCTTTCTTGATAAAATTTTGTGCCGATTTTTTTTTAATTGGAAATTAAAACCGCGAATTTTGACTAAAAAATTTAGTTATTTTATTAAATAAAAAATATAATAAAATTAAAAATTAAAAAAGCTCGACGTGAGTACCTGAAGAATTACCTAAAGAAGTATGTTCCAAATTTCAAACCGATTGGTTCAGTAGATTTTGGGTTATCGTGTACACCGATTTTTAAAATGACATTTTTCAGGAGAGCGCTTTAAACTTTGTGATTCTTATGCATAAGATAAGATCC